ATAATGTCGAGATAGAGGACTTCATAATGATCGAATAGAAGTTTTACAGCATCTACGTGCTTATTACAAATACATGTGCCAGAAACTAGAAAGGGATTACAAAAAGCGATAAAATGTCGCGATGACCAAGCGTACTGTCACTGAATGCTGCCCTTCCACTCGAATCTTCTACGTCGCCCCATCGGTTCCTCCACTCGCACCAAGCGAATGAAGGAGTCTCCCGCACGCACCGTGTATACCACAGTCACGAGTAAGCATGATAGCCGGCGATGCCTTGTGTCTCGTACGGCGTCCTGCAAATTCGCACAACAGCGACTGCTAGAAACTTGCAGTTGGACGGTTCTTTTAACTTTTGGAAACGTTACGGAGAGCTGTAAGGAAGCATAGCAAATGAAGGTGGCGCCGCTAGAGTGGGGTAGGACCCAGAGTCGCTCAGCGTTAGTGACGTGAGTGTCGGGCGCGACTCAGTAGTTCAACATGGTTCGACGCGGATGGCCAGAGGCCTCCACTTGTATCAGAGGCACGAAGGCGCACGCTCCATTCCAACTAAATTAAAGACGGGAATATACGGAAGAGAAACATTCGAAAAACGTATGGTAAGCATACGATGGAAGGTGGAAACATATCTGGGGAAAATCTGGAAGCTGCAGAAAACTGCACGAAAAAAGTAAATAAGGGAGACGTAAAAGAAAGTGCCGGCAAACGCACGGAAAAACATGCAGGAGTAACTAGAGAACCATAGAGAAGTATGCGGAGGTCATAGGAGGGAGTTACGGGATTTCAGTGTTTCTTCGCAAAATCAACGCCTAGTTAAAAGAAATGCAGTGCTAATGAATTAAACAGATCACACGCAATGCCATAAATACGTGTGCGTGGATTGCGATTAACCAATCGCAGGTGACATGCCGCGGCAAGTTTCATCTACAACAATATGCTCCACGCGGCTGCGAGCAGATTTTGTCTCCTATCTTCCGTGCTCTCATTCTTCCGTCCGAATAATCCACTCCACACCACACGCACTGCACTATCTCATCACTCACTCACCTGAACTCTCCTCGTCTCCTCCTCTCCTCTCTCCACACACACACACACACCACAACCACCACACACAACACACCACACACACGCGCGACGCGCGGCCCGCGCAACGCCACACACACATGCACTAACAGATACGTAAACTCCGGTAGACCAGCCTCGGAACTACATAGAGCTTCGTCCACCCAGCGCTCCGACGGCAGCCTGCCCCAGTGAGGAGATTATGCGAGAGGCACAAACCTCGTTCAGGACACCGTGTGGCCTCAGTGCCGCAATATCACCATCCTCCGAAGCCTGCAACGGACAAAATATCCGACATCACGGGAAGTTAACCACTGTATACACGTCACTACACGCTCCTACTAACCCATGAACATACTAGTTGATGCACCGGGAAAACACAATAATCAAATAATATGCCAATTACACGTACATACATTGAAAATTACATGGCGATCACAAAATATTACAAGATCAATGTAAGTAATTACTGTACGTTATGTTTAATAATTATGTTTTGGAGAATGTGCATTATTAAATGATCTAATGTAGTAGAACAAGTGACGAACAAATCTACACAAGCAGTTATTTACTTTGCAGTGCATCCGTTCTGTGCCACTAGCTTGAGGAAAGTGAAGAAATGTTGGCAGTAACGTTGTCATTAGTGATAAAAATAATAAATTCCGTCGCCATTGCACAAGAATGTATTGCTTTTAATAATGGCGGAACACCCCAAATCGAATAAGATACAAAGTTAAAGTTATGCTTTTGTTAAAATGATAATATTAATTACTCACACTGGATACCGGTGGCGATGGGTCGAATTGATTGTATTGGCATTTGAAAATAAACTCAAATATGAAACTGACGTTCATTTAGCTTTATGTCTAGATGTTCATTCAACAGATGTAACCAGTGAGACATAAAAGTGCTTCACTTTTGGCCAACCCCGCCCTCAAGAGCTTGTAACTTTCCATGAAAACTGTAAATGAAATGTATCACACAATCACATTATTAAAGATGATATTTATTTTTGCCAGACGTTACAACTAAAGCTCGTTTGGTAGGTGTGACGATAGAAAAATAAGTAACATTTACTTTGCGAATTGCTTTTTTCCAAAAAGGTAGCCAAGAACTCCTTACTTTTGGTGCCACCCACTGTAATCAAGATCACCTTTCTTCGTTCCACAGAAGAGTATCGTCATATATACTCCCAATGCTATTTCCACCTGGCCTGAAAAACCAAGAAACGTAAAGACCAATATACTTGATAATCATACCGTAAAGGCACTGGTTCGCCTCCTGGTATTCACCCTATAGGAAAATTTCTATGTTTATTACAGAATCCGGACCCCATATGCTGGCCATCAGACGAGCTAAGTAGAATCCCATGGTCATGGATACTACCTACTCTTTTCTAAGAAAGTCCCAATATAGCCTACCAAAAGTGCACCAAGTTTGTTTTCAAATCTACGTCCCGAGTTCAGACTTGCCCAAATTCCTTGCCACCAAACAAAAACAAAAAAGAAACAACACAAACAACAGAAACAACACAAAGTATCTATAAAGACAACACAATTATCTAATTATAATACTCGATATCAACATACTTATAATACTGAGCCAATTTCACGACTTGAAATACTCTATCCTCTACCACCTTCCTTTCAATAGTTATGCAATCGTTAATGTATCAGCTGTTGACTGTTATCTTTATGTGTATATTGCTCGTTCTTGCCTGCCCTTTTACCATTTGTAAACAGAAGAATTTAATTGGATCGAATTACTGCAGCAGTGGCTGTAGACGTTTCCTCAAAAATGTCAAAAAATTTTGAAAAATTAGAAATAAATAAATTGTAATTGTTTTAGTTTATTGTATCTTTTTGTCTATGTTGTTTATTTGATAGCTAAATAGGTCAGTTTTAACATGATACTGATTAATACATTTAATGTATAAATAATTTGTTAATATTATAATGTTAGTTGTTTTGTGAATCTATAAGTTAGTAACTATTTATAACGCTTACCACCGTCAGCACCTATTTTACGGTTCGTCTCACTTCATGAGCAGAGAACTTGGGCAACAGGCTCAGAGTGTAAGGAATCGTTCTAGACGATTTGGCCTAAATACTATTATCGTTTCTCTAAAAGCCATTTGAAGCTCCTACGCGGTAGTCAATCTAGGTTCATTCTTCTCCAGTGACAAACGTTGCAGTATTGAAATCTATTGGTTTTAGATGGGGTTTGTCGTCAACCTGATGAATGAGGATGCGGGTGCTGCGCAACCACTGATGCAACGCACCGAAAGAACCAGAAACAGTCGCCCAAGCTTTCTTGCTTCACGTCCATGTGGCTAGGCCATCGATGAACAGCCCCTGTTTGTCGGACGACGCTCCTGTTAAATTACATCGGTTGATTAGAAAGTACATTTTCGAAAGAACATCAAACCGAAGCGTGTGTTTTTCAACGATATCTGCCCAGTGTTCCCTCCAATGAATAACACAAATAATTAACATTTTTTCAAATAAAGAATACTCTGCTAACCAGCTCAACTAGAAGGGTCTACAAAATTCAGATAAATTTAATTTCTAATTCGAAGAAACTGATTTCTCTGAATTTCTAATCACATTTTCGAATTTCTGATGGATTAGGCTATATATTTCCATTCTTAAATTTTGTGTATAGAGCCCACATTATTTTGACAATTACAACTTATTTTCATTGACTTTTGAATTTTACAAACTATTTATTTTACGCGTACTTTTCAATATATGAATAGTAACCTACTGCGCTGTATATTTTTCACCTTTTTTTTAATACTAGATATTTTTATTTTTTGTAGTTCACAGAACTGGATTATAAAATTAAAAAAAGAATATTTTTAAAAACATGGCACACAACAAAAATACTACTTAGAAGTAGACAATAAGTTAGTAGATAATAAATATATACAAATTATTCGTAAACCATTATTGCTAAACCATTATATCTGGGTAATCGACTGGTATTGGTGTAACATTCCAAGAAAATTACATTTACTCATCACAAGTAGAATAAATAATATAATGACAAATAATATTATTTTTAATATTATATATTATTCACTTAAAATTAACATAGCCTTAAATAAAAGCAGTAATTTTTAAAGAAAATTTTCCCAAATGTTACAAGCAAAATTTATATTTTTAAGGTTTTATTAGTATTATTTTCTATCAATAAGGTAACTTATACCATTTTTATTATTGAATAAATATGCAGTAATAAAATTAAGCATAAATTAAAATCTTGCAAAGGAAAAACTTGAGAAAATCTGTTTTAACATTCTCTTCAAAATTTCATCTGAAATTTTTTTATGGTTTGTTTAATGAGTATTTCAATTGCGAATGTTTATAGATATTCCAAGAAATGAATTCTCAAAACTAAATCTTCGTGATCAATATTTTAGTGCCCAAATTACATCCCTGAGTAATTAAAAATTTAAACTAATTTGCTCAATTGAAACAAAAGATTGATAAATGATAATTTACTAAATATTTTGAATGAACACTGGATAACCCCTAATTGAACTACATAATTATTTAATACTACGTGATCGGCACAGTAAAAATGATCAATGATCCAGATATTACTTTATAAAATGAAATAAACTTTGGAAGAAAAAATCATCCAACTCACATGAGCGTCTCTTTACGTTCTACTCCATCTGTATCTAGATGAAAATTCTTGTTTTGTTGCACGAATTCTTTTCTTTCGCCAGTTTTTGCATCACCTTTTCTCTTCTTCCTACGAAAAGATACTAACAAATTAATGATTACGATCACATAATTCAGAGAATAAAAGGCATAGTTCTATGCAAGAAAATTAGAAAGAATCAATTACTAAAGCTTTGATCACGAAAAAAAAAACACGCATTTGAACATAATAGAAGGACATGTGAGTGATCAATACCTTTCTTACATAACATGATGTTACAATTAAAATTATGATATATAAATTTATATTTTATTTTAATCCAATATTACTTTATATGCTTAGTAATTTGTTTATCTGTTTTGATACATGGGAGAGAAAAAATAATGTATCCCAAAATATTGTGAATTGTTCTTAAGGAGTTGCAAAGTACGTTAGATTTTTTAATATTGGGCAGAATTGTTTCCATACATTGCAGATACAAACCATCAGCTCAATACATTGAGAACAATTATTATTCGTGGCACAAAGTGAACATTAGTATTTTAGTATTAATTTTAGTACCGTTTCGTAAGGGCAATTATATTTTATTGTTGGTTTTATAAATTCACTGACTCTTGATAAAATTCTGTGACCCAGCTTCAGAAACTCCAGCCCTACAATGACTGAATTGACCTCCTAATTACTTTTCTGAATGAGTGACTAGCATAATGAATAAAACATTATTCATATATTATATAATATATTGCAGACTCCCTAACCGATATTTTCAAACAATTTATTGACACAGCTACTCGCATACTTACGGACCAACCACTCTTTACTGACCACATTCGAGTAACCTCGATCATAAGTATAGTTACTTTATAACATCATGCCCTGGATAAAATTTAGAAATCTCTTACCCGTGAGTGGCACTCTACACGCGTCCTTTCACGGTTCACGAAACTGATAAACGGTCTCCGCTACAAGTAATTTCTGTGTTTCTACCTGTAAAAAGTCTGTGTTTCTACTGTAAATTCTGCGGACTATACTCGTCTTTTATTCACACGCTGTTCATCTCCCGCAATCAGGAAATAGTGATAAAGTATTTATTTACTATGCGCGGGGTCCTTGAGTGGTCCTACCATCGAGTAGCTAATGAGTTTCCTGCTACGCAATTCGCGGCAGTGCAACCAATCGTATTAACGAACACGCGAAATGAGAATTATGAAACTCAACATGTTTAGGGTACGTGTAAGATTTTTTAACTATACTCACTAAGTTTGAATATGAATATTTCTGATTTGTATGTGGGTGAAGCTTTCATTCAAACAAGTGGTTGACATACCAGATTCATGTATGAAAAATAGAAGTTAGCCTAATTATACCTTTTCTTTCATTTAAAGAGAAACTAGAAGGCAGATTTGAAAAATAATTCATTTTCTCAGATCTCTGTTATTCATGGGGTTTGGAAATTACATAACAAATTACGTACCTCCGAGAGTAACCAAAAACAAATTTTACAGACATTTAAAAATTTGCATTATTGTCGGACATATCTCTTTGAATTTAAAGAATTTTCTTAATCAAGAAGGCTATAAACATATTACAGAAAAGGTAAGTGCAATGGTCTTTGTATAAGATATCTCTGCTTCATGGTGATTAAAGCATGTTGTTAATTTTTGATAAAATTGCAACTATTCCCCAGCAGTGGCCGGTAGCTTCTTCACATTAGTGGTTGATATTTATTTCCATGTTACATAAACTTGTTTGGCAGGTGAAAATATAGCTATATTAAAGCATGTAATTTCTTCAAATTGATCATTTTAAGAAAATTAGAAAATATTTTATTTTGCAGCACTAGTCATTACTATCCAATTTCCCAACCTATCAGCCTCGTATAATTGTCCTTGGAACAGCTTATGTTTCTTTGTATGTTCATAACTTTTTTTATGCTTTTCATTAAAAAAATATGAAGACTACTGCCTCACTAAAGGAATCAAATTGAATCCGAGAGAAACATAAAGAACAGGAATGCACCACTTTCAACCGTCGTGAGAGACCGGACGATATAGGTAGAAGCACCCTCAGTGCGTCTTCCTATTTTTTCATGGACAATTTCCCTTGGGATTGATGAACATGTTCCAAACGTAAAAGCTAATAGTCTGTGTCATTTGTATACTTTAAAACAATAAGCGTTGAAAATTAAAGTTTTTTAAAAAGAAATTTGAGTTTTTCTAATAAACAAAATTTCGTGATATTTTTCTTCAAATGAAAGATTGTAAAGCTCTAGAAGAGTTATACCTTCGTTATTTACTGATTGTGTAGAATAAATGTTGAAAATATCAATAATAACACAAACTTAATGTAAAAAATATTTATACATTTATTCATTGCTTTATTTCTTACACGAATTGCGAATATATTGTTTTTGATAGAAGTTGCGTTTCGTCTCACGGATCCAGCCAAGTGTGTGGGTTTGAGGTGAAAGTTTATATTTAGCATCACAATGAGCACATACAACAGAAAAGCTACCTTATTCATGATGAGGGACATGTACGTTTTTTAAATTGGCACGGGTATGTAAAGCCCATGCGAAGCTTCACTCAACATTTTTGCCTACAATAAATATTTACTATCACACACTGTGATGTGCGATACCCGTTACATTTGTTTCAAGTGTTAAGGTGCGTCAAAAAATTGAGGATTTGTTTTTTTGTAAAAAAAAAGCGGCGTTTTTATTGACATATTAATGTTTTATATTAAAAGACTTCAAATAATATATTTCTTAACATAATCTCCCTCATACTTCATGCACTTTGTTCATGTCTTAAGCTTCTTAAATACCGTGCTCGATTTCAGGTCGCCTGGCGTGATATGTAGAATAGCTGCAATGTAACTGTAATAGGGTGAGGAGAGGGACAGAAGAAAAGTAATGAAACATCACCCACGGTCCGTGGTCCGTTTGTTAGGTTATTGCTCGGGCATTCCTTATGGTATTCACCGGCAGAAACCACAGAAAAGTACAGACCAGAGCAGCCGGCCGCGTAGAATTCTCCTCAGAAAAGCGATGAACTTGGACTTAACAAACTAGCTAGTTAAATAAATCCCCTGCCATCAACGCGCGGCCACAACCCATAGGACCTACCGGTAAAAGAAGCCACTGCAGTTCATTACTGATGCTCTCCGATACCTTTTCAGGTCGAGTTTCAGATACCGGGATTGCTGTATCATCAGGTATAACGATAAAGTTAATATAAAAACGCAAGTGATAAAAAATTGGAATTCATTGTACATTAAGAATTTTCTAATATTTTCCGTCGCTTAAACTATATAAGATTAATACTATTCTGCCATCACCTCCAGGTGCGCTGTAGAACGTCAGCCCTCGTGGGCACCGCGCGAAGCACGCGGTGCCGCGCTCTCCTTGCAAAGGGGCCGACCTCCGTCCCCTGCTGCCGGCACTGGTATTCTAGGGCGGGCACGCGAGGCGCCCTGCGGCGAAGACGCTCCTCTGGCGAGAAAGGGCGAGCGAAGGCACGAACCGGGGCGGAGCGGCGGGAGGGGGCGGGGCGGGCGCTTCCCGAGTCCACGGAAGGCCGCTCCCGGGGAGGCCGTTCGAGGCGCGTGCGGGGAGCGGAGGCGGGGCCGGGGGCGGAGGAGCGTCCGGCCGGCCGCCTCCTGGGCCCCGTTGTATTGCGCACATATTATTCGCCGGCGCCCGCCCCGCCCCGCCCCGCCCTGCCCTCTGTCCGAGCGACGCTAAAGACTACGCGGGCGCGCGCCCTCGGGAAATTCCCGCTGCCCTCCGCTGCTCGCCCGGCCCGCCCACGCCCCGCGGCGGCGAACCTTCCAGAAAGAATCGATAGTTCCCCTCGCATTGGCCAAGCGTGACGTCGGAGGGACGCGCCGGCCGGCGTTGGCCCCAGGTCCGCCACGCCGCCCGCCCACGCCCACACATACGCCCCAATCCAGCCTTGATCCGCCCACGCTGCCTCGGAACCACGAACGCTGCCTATGAAGTGCAAGAATAAATGGCTTTTTTCTAGCGACTTGTAAGGCACCACTCAGTACGAGCCAAGCTCTATCATCCATTTCATTTCTATCTGGGTAATAATGTGCGTGTATGTGAAAATGTGGGCGAGTAGATACTGGGGGAGGGGGAAGAAGGAAATATCGCTCACGGTTCGTGACCCGTTTGTGAGGGTACTACTCTAGCATTAATCTAGTTTGATCGGAGAAACCACGAACCCAACTGAGCAGCTAGTACTCTCCTCCACACAGCGGCTGTATTAGACCCATCTGTGAGAGTGGAAGAATTCCCCATGTCGTGACTGAAACGCTAGGCCCTCAGAGACTATCGTCACAGGTAGGACCGGAGGATGTGGGGAGTGGCGGCCCAGCGTGAGTTGGCCATAAGAAAGAACGGCGGCCAGGTGCCCCAGAGATTCCAACCGGGGGCGGCGGTCAGCCTCAGCCGTCAGTTTATCAAATAAAGCGATTTCGTGCGTCGGGGACGTCCCCGAAGCTCCCGCGCTCTCTGCCCATTACTAACTCCTCCACCCCACAGGTTGGTCCAGAAGCCGACTTCTGAAGGTTGCCGATTACGAAGTTGATGTCACATAACCGGCAAGTTACATTCCCTTATTCAACGCAGCGATACATTTATAGCACCCCTCTCTTTCCTGACGGAGTGAAAGGAGTTTTTTTCAAATGTATACATTTAAGGAGGATAATTTATTGTAGAAAAATGGAACTATCATGTTTTGACTTGACTGCCAGTCAGATACTAGGACATCATCCTGGCAATTGCGCAGTCAATTGAAAATGTGTACTTTTTAAGTCGCGCTTTGCTTACATATATCCGGTTCCGAAAAAAAAAGAATCAAGCCAATTTAATACGTTATTTTCCTAGAAACATATTCTAAAGATCCTTGATATGTAATGGTGCAAAGAGCTCGCTAATTATGCAGTAAGTAAACTGCATATAAGAAACACCGGATGATTGATTAAACTATTGTCACAATATGGCCTTGGGACGTGTAACAGACAAAAATAATGATGTTACAACAGCACATACTTTCTCGCATGATTGAAAATGGTAATAAATTATAGTTGTAATATACGTTATAGTTGTAATATTAAAATTATAACTTCTACTATACTACAAACTAAGTTGTAATTTGTGAAAGTTTAATTGAAACGAATCGCTTTTCGTGCCTATCTGCATCTATTTCCTTTCACAAGAATATTATCTTCATCATAAAATCAACATCGACACCAATGTGATGAATTTGAAATATTTCGAAAACTCTGGTTACTTTCGGAACAGGCGCTTGAAACAAAGAGCGCGATGATCAAGTTTACAATTTCTAACTTATTTTGCAATTTTCAAAAATGCAGAGTGCGCCGAAAATAGGACCGTCACCGCCCTTTTCAGTTTGCTTTGCTACATACGATGATAAAAATAAGACAAAATTTGAAACTGTTTCTGAGAAAAGTTTTTTAAGTGGTTTTAAAGGTGCCTATGTTTCATCGAAATTTACGCAAAAAATACCCATATTTTCGAAAAATTGATCATGACTTCTTTTCAAGAACTGTTTTTGAAGAACACATTTCGTTAAGAAAAACAAATATTCAAAATTTTAGTTGCAGGAACACTCCGAAACAAATTTCAAATTTTTGCAATTTTCAAAAAAATCAGAGTTTTGACGATAATGAGATCTATATCATTCTGTGAAACGTCTTTCACACTATCCTACAGCAAAATTTTATCAAAAATTATGGAGCATTTTTTTGAAAATTTTGAAAAGGCCCTTGGCTTTCATGTTAAATATGCCACAAAATTAAAATATCAGTTTCAAATTCAAGGGGCCGCGTCATCAGCCAGATCAATTTAGAAGTATTAATTTTGGAGAAAGTCGGCTTAAGTAGTTACCGACTTAACTAGTAAGCCGGTTTAACTAGTAGCGTTCTTCACAGGCAGACACAGGCAGACACAGGCAGACACAGGCAGACACAGGCAGACACAGGA